CTCGGGAGACAAATGTCGAATGGGCCAATCAGTGGGGCGGGCTTCCGATGATCGCAAGTACGATCTGTTTGTCCAAGATGGGCAGATAGTACTTTTTTTAATTACTTTACAACCATCGCAAGACTAAGGTCTTGCGATGGTTGTAAAGTGTATGGCCACCTTAACTGAGTGTGGGTTTGTGTCACTCCAGCTGCCCCCAAACTCCATAGCGAAGGTGAGTTAAATATTAGTTTTGGGGAGTGTTGCCCTTTTCTAATAATCTTACTTTCATTCATATTATGCAGCATCTTCATTGTTTGAGCATTTTATGTGAAAATCATAATACATGACTATGCAAGTAAAAAAACAAAAAAAAAGAGTACCATCATAACATCCCATTTGTGTCCTCCAGAGAGTGGAAAGAAAAACTTAACCAAATCATACTAAAATTTATGTATTGATGTTTCTAAGAATACCATCTGCTTAGTAATTCTGCTTAATTATTCTTTTGATGTGCTTTTGATTTAAATGTCCGTACAAGCCACGCATAAGCACACAGTGGTCTATAAATTTTGGGAGGTGCGTTGCCAGTAATTACTCATTTGATAAATATGAGTAAGTGGAGCTTTTATGTGTGGATTTACTTGTTTGGCATATAAACAGGGATGTAGCACTCTAAATTCAGTACTTTGCAGCCATAAACTAAAGAGATTTCAAATTCTGGAAGTGTCAAAGATGGAAGTGCCCAGGCTGAAGCTGTAAACAGATCCCAAAACTAAGAAACGGGAGACAACAAAGCATTCCCTATACTGAAATCACAGTTTATAATGTGGTCAGTGTTGTGAACTTGAAGGGTAGCACTCTTTCCTCACAGCAGTGGGGTCCGGGGTTCGGTTTCTCAAATTTTTTTTATCTCCCACAATTCAGACCTGCTAATAGGTTAACTGGCTCCTCTATAACACTGTCCTTGTTTGTGTGTGCGTATCTTATAGCAGTGGAAGGGGCATTGGTTTTAAAGAAGAACTCCAGGTTGTAGAAAACTAACCCTTACAGCGGGGCTACCCCTGCACTGCAAAGGTTACCTGATAATTTTTCTCTAGGGTTGATAATAAAAAAGAAATACTCACCCAATCTTTGGCCCTGTCTGCCTGTTAGACTGCAAATGTCCATAAGGTTACTGCCGCACACCTTACCGGATCCTCCTATTGGAAAGGTGGGTGCTGTAGTGACCGCGAATGTTTCCGCATATGTTGAACAGTAACAAAGAATCACCAGCACACCAATGAGTAGTGTGTGAACACTCCTTCTTCTTCTTTATTTACGCATCATGTCACATCCCCAAGCGCAACGTTTTAGGGCCACGCAGGGTCCCCTTCATCAGGCTTAACATCTTGTTAAGCCTGATGAAGGGGACCTTGCGTGGCCCCGAAACATCGCACTTGGAGATGTGACATGATGCGTGAATAAAGAAGAAGGGAGTGTTCACACACTACTCATTAGTGTGCTGGTGATTCTTTGTTACTGCCTGTTAGACTGGTCCCCACGTCTCCAACCGAATCCCAGAGTCCTCCAACCGAATCAGTGTGTAGCACATTAAAGCCTTCTGAAAACAAAAGGTATTCACATATCTCGTTCCATCACATATCTTCCTCATTTCAGGACAGTAGACAGAGCAATGCAAATCATTCCTTTAAGCCCCATTATTTAGATGCACATCCAGAACCGCTGTTCTTTGGTGCAAATATAGTCTAATATTATAAAGCCAATTATTTTAAACTGCATACAGCGTTTCAGGCTTTTTGGTCACTATCAGTGCAGTGTATTAAAACCATGGCTACTATGGAGTAGGGCTTGGGATCCAACAAGACAGTATAACCTACGGGTTAGGGTGCGAAGAGACAAAAGGTATCAAAAAGCCCCCCAGCTGAATCAGTGCATAGCATAGTAAAGCCTTACTATAACAGGTGTTCACATGTCACATTCCATCACATGTCCCAAAAATAGGATGACAATTTCTCAATACAGGACAATGGGCAGAGCCATTCTAATTATTGCTTTACGCCCCATCAGCAAAATGCTACCCACTGGTTTGGCTGGAGGGCTTTTTGGTTGCTTTAGTCCCTTATCATCCTAAGTTATATTCAGGCACTTCCCGTTATGGGGTGAGAACACTGTATCGCTGCCACATGGGCTTCCGATGGAGACTACAAGCGTTTGTTTCAACATATAGCCATCATTGGAGTGCATGTAGTCCAGAAGTAACACCGGAGATCAACAGCACTGAGAAGAAAATGTTCACAAGTATTTTACAAAATGTCAGTTATTTATGATATACAATGCTTTAGTAAACTAACAGAGTAAGTCACAAAAGGGTGAAGAGTTTGGAGAAGGCAGGAGAAGGGAACGATGTAGGACAACATCGCTGAACTGGAAAGTGAGCTGAATTGGAGAATTTTCCAAATCAGCTATGTGGTCCTAGATTGTTCACTCCTCCTGCCTTCTCCAGACACTTCACCCTTTTGTGAATAACCCTGTTAGTGTTCTAGGACATTGAGGTATATTATAAGTAAAATATAAAAATATATGTGAGCTGTAGAGATGATAGAGATGATAACATTGCCGAATTTAGGTCATGTGCTTCCGCTTGCTGATTACTGATATCCTCTTGTAATCAGAACGTATGTGTGAACATTCATAAAATATTCCAGGCTCTGCCTCCAGGCCTTTGGCAGCCATGTTTCCTTTTAAATGCTCCAGATACCAAATCATACTAAAATTTATGTATTGATGTTTCTAAGAATACCATCTGCTTAGTAATTCTGCTTAATTATTCTTTTGATGTGCTTTTGATTTAAATGTCCGTACAAGCCACGCATAAGCACACAGTGGTCTATAAATTTTGGGAGGTGCGTTGCCAGTAATTACTCATTTGATAAATATGAGTAAGTGGAGCTTTTATGTGTGGATTTACTTGTTTGGCATATAAACAGGGATGTAGCACTCTAAATTCAGTACTTTGCAGCCATAAACTAAAGAGATTTCAAATTCTGGAAGTGTCAAAGATGGAAGTGCCCAGGCTGAAGCTGTAAACAGATCCCAAAACTAAGAAACGGGAGACAACAAAGCATTCCCTATACTGAAATCACAGTTTATAATGTGGTCAGTGTTGTGAACTTGAAGGGTAGCACTCTTTCCTCACAGCAGTGGGGTCCGGGGTTCGGTTTCTCAAATTTTTTTTATCTCCCACAATTCAGACCTGCTAATAGGTTAACTGGCTCCTCTATAACACTGTCCTTGTTTGTGTGTGCGTATCTTATAGCAGTGGAAGGGGCATTGGTTTTAAAGAAGAACTCCAGGTTGTAGAAAACTAACCCTTACAGCGGGGCTACCCCTGCACTGCAAAGGTTACCTGATAATTTTTCTCTAGGGTTGATAATAAAAAAGAAATACTCACCCAATCTTTGGCCCTGTCTGCCTGTTAGACTGCAAATGTCCATAAGGTTACTGCCGCACACCTTACCGGATCCTCCTATTGGAAAGGTGGGTGCTGTAGTGACCGCGAATGTTTCCGCATATGTTGAACAGTAACAAAGAATCACCAGCACACCAATGAGTAGTGTGTGAACACTCCTTCTTCTTCTTTATTTACGCATCATGTCACATCCCCAAGCGCAACGTTTTAGGGCCACGCAGGGTCCCCTTCATCAGGCTTAACATCTTGTTAAGCCTGATGAAGGGGACCTTGCGTGGCCCCGAAACATCGCACTTGGAGATGTGACATGATGCGTGAATAAAGAAGAAGGGAGTGTTCACACACTACTCATTAGTGTGCTGGTGATTCTTTGTTACTGCCTGTTAGACTGGTCCCCACGTCTCCAACCGAATCCCAGAGTCCTCCAACCGAATCAGTGTGTAGCACATTAAAGCCTTCTGAAAACAAAAGGTATTCACATATCTCGTTCCATCACATATCTTCCTCATTTCAGGACAGTAGACAGAGCAATGCAAATCATTCCTTTAAGCCCCATTATTTAGATGCACATCCAGAACCGCTGTTCTTTGGTGCAAATATAGTCTAATATTATAAAGCCAATTATTTTAAACTGCATACAGCGTTTCAGGCTTTTTGGTCACTATCAGTGCAGTGTATTAAAACCATGGCTACTATGGAGTAGGGCTTGGGATCCAACAAGACAGTATAACCTACGGGTTAGGGTGCGAAGAGACAAAAGGTATCAAAAAGCCCCCCAGCTGAATCAGTGCATAGCATAGTAAAGCCTTACTATAACAGGTGTTCACATGTCACATTCCATCACATGTCCCAAAAATAGGATGACAATTTCTCAATACAGGACAATGGGCAGAGCCATTCTAATTATTGCTTTACGCCCCATCAGCAAAATGCTACCCACTGGTTTGGCTGGAGGGCTTTTTGGTTGCTTTAGTCCCTTATCATCCTAAGTTATATTCAGGCACTTCCCGTTATGGGGTGAGAACACTGTATCGCTGCCACATGGGCTTCCGATGGAGACTACAAGCGTTTGTTTCAACATATAGCCATCATTGGAGTGCATGTAGTCCAGAAGTAACACCGGAGATCAACAGCACTGAGAAGAAAATGTTCACAAGTATTTTACAAAATGTCAGTTATTTATGATATACAATGCTTTAGTAAACTAACAGAGTAAGTCACAAAAGGGTGAAGAGTTTGGAGAAGGCAGGAGAAGGGAACGATGTAGGACAACATCGCTGAACTGGAAAGTGAGCTGAATTGGAGAATTTTCCAAATCAGCTATGTGGTCTATTATCCTCTTGTAATCAGAACGTATGTGTGAACATTCATAAAATATTCCAGGCTCTGCCTCCAGGCCTTTGGCAGCCATGTTTCCTTTTAAATGCTCCAGACCTGCCATTTGTTTTTATTTTAACCAAAGCAAAAGTATTATGCATAACTAATACATACATAATGTTGTATTGTGCTTGAAATTCTAAAAATATTTTTTTTTCTCCTCTTTCCCCAGCTGATATTCTACTACGGGGCCTCTGACCACTGGTGTCCGGTCCAGTATTATAAAGACCTGAAGAAGGACTTTTCTGATGGCAATATCTGGCTATGCAATCGAGGAATCAGACATGCCTTTGTTCTGGACTCTAGCAAAGACGTGGCCTCCATTATCATAGGCATGTTAGGAAAGTTATTATAGGTACACGTTATTAAAGAACACCTGTGCTGCAGTGATAGAGTGCTGGGAAGGAGAAGGGAAGGTAGACACTCTTCTTGGATTTAGTGATAAAAGAAGTGATGTGTGTCTTAGAAGAGTAATGTTTAAAGCCCAACTGCAGCTAAAACTTTTTATTTTTTTGGGAAGCAGGGAAGGGTTTGAACCTCTGTCAGCGGAAGGCCACCTCCCTCATGTGTCATGACTGGGAACTTCACCCAGACTAGGCCTAAGTGTGTGATGTACAGCACTCCCTCAAAAAGCTCAGATCAGTCACCAGGTCCACCAGCCCTAGCTATCAGAGCAGAACCCATAAAGATGCCATGCATCCCTCTTCACCTTCCCAGCCCACACGGACGGATTGTCCAGTCGGGTTTTACTAGAACCGTTACATGTTTACAAATAATTGCCATGCCACAAAAGAATAAATAGATGTTCTTTCCAAATAAATGTTTCCAAGAGCCACCTGCACTCCTTACGATCTTCCAAAGTCACAATATTAGTGGTGCTTATGGTGATCGCACAGATGGTCGCCGTGCAGATTGTTGCCGTGCAAAAAGTAATCGCAGCGGGTCACTAGCACATACACATAGTGACGTCACTATGTCGCTCTGATGAAGGGTCCCTGTGAGGTCCAGAATCATTAGCCTCTGATGACATACTTCAATAAACATACTGTATATTGAAACTGTATTTTGTGTGTGCTGGTGACCCACTGCGATTACTTTCCAAATAAATGGCACAACATTGTGGGATTGCATGAAAGGCTTTACCTTGGGTACTGGAACTGGTACAATAATTAGTGCTCACATGAAGGTAAACTATCTTCCAGCTTTACCTTTCTCCCATGACACAAGGGTGCTTTCACCCATTGAGGTATTCAAAAGTTGTGGCACAGGTGACAGGACAATTGATGGCCCATGGTTATGGGAAAACCAGCCATACTTTGCGGACCACACTCCATTCCACTCCACCTTCCAGTCCCCTGGTCGTTGGTGTTTCCAATTCATCTCTGTCTTCTTCTGGGATCAGGAGTCTTCAGCCACCTTGATTGGCTGGGCTGGCATGTAGTAACTCCAGTGCATGCTCATGGAAGTTCATTCATCCCGACACTTGCATCCTACAGATGTTGATACTGGAAAGAAGTGGAATAAAAGCGATGGACATGCAAGGTTTATCTTTTTGGTGTAGCTGGCCAGTTAGGATGTGAAAGAGTCAGTATGGGGTATCTGACAGGGAACTTCTACATTCCAGTGGATCTCCAGTATCCATGGTTTGTGGTGTCAAATTGCAGGATTATGAATTGAAGTTCCACACTTTGATTTATAGTCCAGATACATCTTACATAGTTACATAGTTACATAGTATTTGAGGTTGAATAAAGACATTAGTCCATCAAGTCCAACCTATTGGTCATTAATTAATCTTCATTCGATGTAGAGTTGAGGGGACAGTATAAAAATAGCCAATGTGTATTGGGGGCTCAAACAGTTACCCACTTTATCAAGGCTTACTTAGGAAGAACATGAATCAGGACTGTGAATTCTTGAATAGGATTCAATTTTCCAGTATGTGAGAATGCATAGAGCCAAATCAGCTGCTGAAGCGCTCTATAGATTCTCACACACTGGACAAAACAAATCCAATATCAAGCTCATTTCAGGTTTAGTTCCACTTTAGTCAAATTACTTCAATAAAGTAAGTGCAAGCGACACAAAAATTACTAATCTTCTTGTATCTGACGTGTTTATAGCTGCAATATACAAGGTAGGAGGACCTTGGTGGTACAGGAGGTGGGGCTTAGTTACAGGAGACAAGCCTTTAAAGTCACATGTCCCCCATGTTGCTTTAAGGACTCACCTTAAATCAGTGGTTCTCAACCTGTGTAACCTCAGGACCCACATTTGTCCTTGGTCATTTAGTCGCAACCCAAGCTGCACTGCAATGGAATGCATGGCATTGCAGTACCGGCTATCGGACTGTAGGCAAGAGATGCATTTGGGGGGTGTCATTGAAGTTAATGGCAAAGCAAAACACCTTCCACACCAGAACGTGCAGTAGGTGCAATTGCGTGGTGCAGTGCAATAATCGCATGGGACTGTATGATTATTGCATTGTACTTGTGTAAATGGATCCTCAAAAATACATAGTCACGTACAACCACATACATAATCTCACACACTCACAGACATTCTCACGCACACATACACACTCCAAAAAAATATATTTATTTTTTTCTTTTTTTTTAAGATCCACCCAGTGGATCCTCAGCCTGGGGACCAGTGTGGGCTGCTGTGCTGTGACGGAGCTCCATCCATATGTGCGTTGTTTGTACAGCTCCCTTGCGTGCCCTGTAGAGGTGCCGGGAACCAGAATGGACCGTCAATCCAGACCAGGCACCTCTACAGGGCACACGTGGGAGCTGTAAGCAATGCACATATGGACGAAGCTCCCTTTTGGCCATACTTCCAGCCCATACCACCCCACCTCAAGCTGACATGCACGGCCGGGCAGCATATTTTGAATGGCTGTTGGGCGTGAAAACTGACAGTGCTGTGCTAGGGGAAGGCTGAGGAGTCTCTCACCTAGAAACGTGGAAGGCACATGGCGACCCACTGAACATGGGGTCGCGACCCACTTTTGGGTCACGACCAACCAGTTGAGAACCAAGGCCTTAAATGATGCCTCTTGATCCGATCATCTTCTTTCCAGTAGTTTTCATGAGTCCCTCCAGCACTGGTGCCGGTCTCTGATCCAACGTAGACTCCTGTCTCTTCCTGTCCCATGGAGTCTGTACACGCTGCCGGGCTGCATGCATTGACTTACCCTGTGTCTCTCTTCTTCTCCCGGCCGAAGATCTCTACTGCGCATGCACCCACCACATGATCCTTCACGACCCCTCGAGAATCTTCAGATCTTCGGACGGGAGCGAGCGGCAGAGGCACAGGTAAGTAATAACCTTGCTAGCAGTAGATATAGGCAAAAAAAAAAGGTTTAATTATACTTTAACAATGATGAAGTAAGGGCAGTGCTTACCTTCCCTTCCTGCCTCCTATACAGCATGTTTGTCTACATCACTACAGGTACACAGAACCAGTCATGGTTGGGTTTATGTAAGAAATTGAATATTTAGTGCAAAATCATTATACTTTGAGGGTTCTTTATGATATATTTACATTTGCCCCCTTGGGGTTGTCTTTACTGGTGGAAAATATGGACAGTTGTTGGGCATCTTTTCCACCCCTGGAATTCCTAAAAGCCATCTTGTACCACCATGAGAATGCTATTGGATGGCACAGTAGAGATGGAAGAGGAAGTGTTGCAGCATATCAAAAATAACTACGATGTGTGGCATTTGAGAGCAGAAACACGGAACAACCTTATACTTACATAGTTACATAGTATTTGAGGTTGAATAAAGACATTAGTCCATCAAGTCCAACCTATTAGGATCTCATTCTAGGAGTACCCGCACCCCTGTATATTACGGTCCCTTAAGAAATCGTCCAAAAGTTTCTTGAACAATTCCACATTATTTGCTGAAATCACCGCCTGGGAATTTACTTCCCAACCAGGGCCATCATCACACATGTTAAAAAAACCGCTTTGAAAACACAATTGGTCTGCAATTGGCACTTTGTGCTGCCATTGGGTACAAGTCTTTTTTTAGTTTGAAAGATAACCTAAAGTTGCTTCTTTGTTAGGCAACTGTTTTAGGTGACTTTCCTGAAAGCTAAAGTCCAGCTTTAAAGTGACACTAAACGCAGGAGTTAAACCTGGAAAATGCATTCAAGTATGTTAAAGTGACATTAAAGGCTAATCCACCTCCCCCTCCCCCCCAATGCTGCTTTAAGTACGTACCTTATGAGATGCCTCTTATTCCAAAAATCTTCTTCCCTTCACTGGTTTCTAAAAGTCTCTCCAGCGCTAGTGCCGCTCTCTGATCCAGCACAGACTCCTGTGTCTTTTGTGTCCCACAGAATCTGTCTTGCGTGCATGCTCTCAGCTGCATGCATTCACCTACACTGTGTCTCTCCTTCTCTCCCCTCCGGTGATATCGACTGTGCATGCACCCGCACACACTTCCTATTGCACGACCGTTCAGGAATCTGGATTCTACAGCTGGGAGAGAGGGGCGCAGACACAGGTAAGTTTTTACCTATTCGGCACGTTTTTTCGTTTTTTAAATGTTTTTGTGTATATCTTCTGCTTGCTAGCAGTAGATATATGTAAAAAAAAAAGACTTTAATACCACTTTAATTTTATCAAAAATTTATCTTATTTGTGTATCACTCGGCTGTAGATCCTCAAATCATCTCTGAATTGGTGCTGACACTGTCCTTCCTTCTGGAGGGGGGCTACATTTGTTCCCCATGGTCCCTGTGTGTGTTGTAAAGTAGTCACCGCTCCAAGCTCACTCCCGTGATGGAATACAATCTCACGTTTAGTTTACTAATTTGTGCTGAGATTGTAGTCTATCACAGGAGTGAGCTTGGAGCGGTGACTACTTTACAGCACACACAGGGACCATGGGGAACAAATGTAGCCCCCCTCCAGAAGGAAGGACACTGTCAGCACCAATTCAGAGATGATTTGAGGATCTACAGCTGAGTGATGCGCAAATAAGATACATTTTTATTAATAGTTAAGGGACTTGAATGTATTTTTAAGATTTATCTCCTGAGTTTAGTGTCACTTTAAATAAAGTCTCAAAATGATACTGCCCAGCATTTATAAAAACAAAAAAGTAGCTCTTGCTACTATACACACATCCTCCCTACCCCTGTAGCAACTCCTCCCCGAGGTACAGTGCAGGTCCTCTTCTGGGTGGAATGATGGCCAAGCTCTTCAGCCCACTTCTTGTGAGCCCAGGCTGTCAGGGACACGCCCCCTTGGGGGTGCATCATCGCACTAGCCTGGGCTCACAGGGGAAAAATGCAAAGAACGGTGCTTACATCACTTTGTTTGTGCTGTTCTCTCCAGCATGAAGGACTACCGACTGCTGCAG